CGGTGAGATTTTAACCGCTGAACTGCAGAACTGCAGTCAGCTGAAGTAGCCTGCAGTGCTGCATTTAACCACTGTGCCACCTTGGCTCTTCAACCCTGGTATGCCAACTAAATGCCTATTATATACACTTCTCAACTTTTCATAAAGTACCTTTAAGTTGGCTGATACACAGACCTTCATAAGCTAACCACTAAAGAGAAGCCATCTCACCTGAATAGCTCTAGCCCATTTGTGTCACCAAAAGAGGCCTCCTATGGACCCCATCCAGTAGGAGTCAAGGAGAAGAGCCTTTTCCACTGTGGCCCCGAACCTGTGAAACATTCCACCACTGGAGGTGAGAACTGCTCCCAACCTTTTGGCCTTCCAGAAGAGCATTAAAACCTAATTTTGCTGGCTGGGTTGAAGCCCTGAAAGGAGGACACTCACTGCTGAAGATGGTTCATTGGGTAAGAAAAAAATCGTCATTATGCCGTCTTGGTTCCTATTTTTTGTTTAATTTTTAAAGTTTTGATTTGCATAGTTTTTTTAAAAAGAAATTACCTGCTATTTTATTTATCTTTTTATGATCTGTAAGCCATCCAGAGACATCTTATTGGGACATTATTATTAATAAATAATAACAATAATAACTATATTAAACCCCAGTTACAACTGCTCAATTTGTGATGGGATTTTCATGGCAGCCTAATAAGAAACTTCCTCGGAAATGAGTCCGATTGACCCAGTTTAGATTTCTAAATAAACATACACAGGGTTAATTTGGAGACATGGTTATGAATGTAGGTTATAAGCATCTCTAAAGCATATCTTCTGTTGTCATCATCCCCATAATGAAAAATAAAATACCCTTAGTATATTGGCGTAACTAGAAACAACAAAAGCAAAATTGGCAATCTGAAATTTTACATACCTTTTTTTAAAATCAACTAAATAGAACAGGCAGTCTCTTCACTTTAACCTCATGAGGAAATCATACTGATTATATAGGACTTTTTACCACTCCCTTAGAAACCAGTTTCTCAACATTTAGCTGATGTAATATATTTTTGCCAATGAACTGTCCCTATGGAACATCTGGAATGTAACAAGAATATGACTTAAACTAGATGGCAACAATGAACATAATAACAATGGAAATAGGTGACTGTAATTGAATAGTTGCAGAATGAATCACTAACAGCACAGGCATGAGTATCTTGCTGTGAAAAGAATAAAAGGGTGTGGAAGATTCAATCATCAAATATTAAACCTGCATTTACGTACAGTTGTATAGCTTCGAGGAACACAGTGGCTCAGTGGCTAAGATGCTGAGATTATTGATCAGAAGGTCGGCAGTTCAGTTGTTCGAATCCCTAGTGCCGCATAATGGAGTGAGCTCCTGTTACTCGTCCCAGCTTCTGCCAACCTGGCAGTTTGAAAGCACATTAAAAATGCAAGTAGAAAAATAGGGACCACCTTTGGCGGGATGGTAACAGCGCCCCGTGCGCCTTTAGCATTTAGTCGTGCCAGCCACGTGACCACAGAGACGTCTTTGGATAGTGCTGGCTTGTCAACTTAGAAACAGAGATGAGCACCGCCCCCTGGAGCCTGAAATGAGTAGCACGCGTGTGCGGGGGGAATCTTCACCTTTGCCTCCATCAACTAAAGGAACGTCTCATAGGGTGCTTGTAGATAAATTGAGAAAAGATCATACTCCTATATAAGAAGATTTTGTTGCTTTCATGTTTGCCTGTATCGGTCAGACGCTTAACCAAAGTGAGTGTTGTAAAAGCAGTGTAAAACAACTGAAGAAAGAAAGAAATAATTTCAG